GCATTCATACTACCTTTGCAAAGTCCCCAGCTGCTAACAATACCGTAGTATATGACCATATTGGTTTATTAACAATAGAAATAAGTATATATATTCTAAAAAGAATGGATTATTGAAACTCTGAACAACCATAAACCAAGATTTTTCAAGTTGAATAATGTGTTATTCGCAAGAGTATTTGCATACAAATTATGCTTTACTGAATTATCAGTAGATATTAATAAGTCATATGTGATAGTTTAGTCCATGAGGTACACATCTTTATGAAGTATACCTTAAAAAAATACTGTAGTGATTCTTCAAAAATCAAAAGTAATATTAATTTGTGCCACATTTTATCTAATCATTTATTCATGGGCATCTAAGCTGATATATTTTATCCATCATGATTTGTGTCACAGTAAATGTGGACTTATACTTCTTAGAATGAACATGTCATCTAGCAATTTCACTAAATAATGAAATAAATGTATCAATGAAATGTATCCATTCTCATGTTTATTCCAGTTATATTCATAATAGGAAAGGCGTGAAATTTACCTAAGCATCTACCACTGACTAAATGGAAAAAGAAACACACACGCATGTGCACGCACACACATGCGCACGCACGTGATGAACTAGTATTCAGCCACAAAAGGAAGAGATTCTGTCATTTGTAATCATGAGAGCGCCCTGAAAAACACTATGTTAAAGAAAATGAGTCAGACACTCATAAGCTCATTCCTGTGTGAAATCTGAAGTAGCTGACGTCATAGAAATTAAGGATAGAATAGAGCTAGAGGTGGAGGAGCGTAGCAGGGAAAGGAAGTGAGGACAGGTTAGTGAATGGGTATAACATTACAGTTAGAAAAAGGAGTAAGTTTTGGTGTTCTCTTACAGTAAGGTGACTCTAGTTAGCAAGAATACATTTCGTATTTCAAAATAGCTAAAAGACAGGATTTTGAGTGTTCTCGCCACAAATAAGTAAATAAACATTCCAGGTGAGGGGTATGATAATTATACAATGGATACATGAATGGAAGTACCAGGTTTCACCTTATTTATGTTCATTATTATGTCAATCAACATTTTTAAAAAGATTAAAATTTGACATTTTAATATTGATATTTTAATGAACAAATATTATAAACTAAATGGAGTCATTTCTATGACATCTTCAATAGATACTTCTTTCTCAAAAATAAAATTTCAAAATGACAGCTTTGGGGATGTAAGGTCATGGGTTATTGTGCATATTGCAACATTTTTTAATCAATATGCCTCTGACCTTCTCAGCGATTTCAAAGTATAATAAGATAATGTACCCATACAGGGCAAGGAGGAATCATTTCTCAAATTCAGATTTATTCTTATGGTTTAGGATGACATTTGAAAAGACAATATCTGGGAACACTGAGCAAGATTTATTTAAATACGTTGACAAGAAATTAAAATGAGAAGCAACATTTTTATTCAATAATCAAGAGCTGTATGTATATTTCACATGAATCTATCAAATAAATGGCTGCAGAATAGATAATTTTGTTATGTCAGAGACTTGGTGTGTGCTGCATTTCTCATTATTTTGAGTTCATATTTGTGTTTTTCAAAAATAAGAATACTCAGATATGAGTACATTTTTACTAGTAAGTTTTACTAGTACATGAAAATAATACTTGTACTAATAGTAACAAAGATAAAACTATAATAACATCTCTTGTAGGTCTTTTAATATATAATAAGCATTACAAGATCTATCTATATATGTAAAAACAGTTATAAAATTACATTTATCATCCATTTTAAATTCAAAAAAATATTTCCTTGATCTGTGTGATAAAATTCTAAATCTTGTAAAATAGGAAAACAAGTACTCCACTAGTTGTTAATAATAGTTGTTGCATGATTGCATTTATACAATACAGTCAACAACTATTACACTCCCAAGTTACAGTTTAAAAGTTATTTTCCTTAATGCAAAATAATTTGAATAAATAATAAAATCCATATTTATATAATATATGTAGAAGAAAATATGAGTTATGTCTTTATCCTTAGAACTTTTAGAAACAGTTTGTAATTGTTCACAGACTAAATTAAATGTCTTTTTGTCCTAAAAGGGACAAATAGATATTTCAGGTCAAATTTCTAAATGTTTCTTTCTGGTATTCTTTTTCAATCAGTTCATAGATTATTGAGGGTTCTTATATAATTGTAGCAGTAGTAGGAGTGGCAATAATAATAGTAATAATTTATATTTGCTGATAATACTATGCTTTAACTTATGCGAGTCACTCACATTATTTGTTTGACACAAACTCTGTCAATGATTCCTGCAATGTACTCTATGAATTCAATACAATCACTGCATCCATTTTAAATAAAAAGAACATGAAAGTAGTAAATGCTACAAACTTGCTTCAGAGGTCAAGACAAAAGTAACTGGCATGTGATTTGGATACTTTGATCCCAGGTCTTGAAGACTTCAATGAGATATAGAATTTCATATGGGAAATGATAACAGATTTGAGGCCAAAATAGTAAAGTTCTAGTGCCCCCTTGTCTCCCATTCCCAAAAAAACTGAATAAGTAACTGGGAGAAATTTCACCCTAACTCTAACCTTACACGAGGACATGCAACCTATTAATTGTTTACTAAAATTAATTTACAGTCTAATATTCACAATTCACAAAAATAAATGATAGGTTTTTAAGAGAAGCTTAAAGAAAAGATGTCTAACATTTAAGGTTATTATATAATCTACAAGTTAAAAAAGAAAATACTTTTGGATTTTTAAAAATAATTATTATTAAAGAGGAAAAAATAAAAATAACAGTCAAGTGGAGTTGCAAAACAGTTTAGTAGGAGAGTTACAACAATCAATACATTGTGCATCACTGTCTTCACAGTAGTTATTCAAAGAGCATAACATAGGCATGATATCTATCCAAACATTGTCAGCACAAACCTTTCTTTTCAATGAACTGAGATAAACTAGCTGTATAACTACATGAACTATCTTGTGCATAAATATAGTTTTTCTTTTTCTCTTTCTTCCTTTTCCCTTTACTCCATCAGTTTGTCCTTTCTTTTGAACAGTTTCTTCAAAGTTCACAATATCTATTGTACATTTTTAATCTTATTTATTTGTTCAATTTCTCACAGTAGTGAAACAATATGATATTTACACATATGGGTCTGATATTTTTCATTTATGAGTATGGTCTCTAGCTACATCCATTTACCTATAAAAGTGTCCAGTTTATCCATCTACATGTTTGACTACTATTGCAATGTGTACAAATACCACGTCTTTTTATCCATTCCTCATTTGATGGGCATTCTGGTTGTTTCCAAGAGTTCGCTATTACAAATTGTCCTGCTGTAAACTTGGGTGTGCATATATCTCTGTGGTATGATGTTTTAATTCTTCTGGGAAGATACCACAAGGGGAATAGCTGAGTCAAATCGAACCTCTATTCCTGGTTTTGTAAGGAATTGCAACACTGATTTCCACAATGTTTGCGCCAGTCTACACTCCCACAAAAAGTGGAGAAAAGTTCCTATTTTTATTGGTTGATTTCATGATGGCAGGCATTCTTTCCGGGTGAGATGGAACCACAGTGTTGCTTCAATTTGCATTTCTTGAATGACCAATGATGTTGAACATTTTTTCATGTATTTATTTGCCATTTGTATTTCTTCATTTGAGAAGTGTGTATACATCTCAGATGCCCATTTTCATATTGGGTCTTTGCATTTGGGGGATCGGATTTTTTTTCACTTCTTTATGTATTCTAGATATAAGTCCTTTGTCTGAGAGACAACTGACTACAACTTTCCACTCTGTGGGTTGTCTTTTCACCTCGGTGATGATTTCTTTAGTTGTGAAAGCTTCTTAATAAAATGTGATCGCATTCATTGATTCTTTGTAGCATTTCCCTTTCAGTCTTGGTTTTGTTCATGAAGTCTCTACCTACACACACGTCTTGGAGATTTCTATCTATTTTTACTTCTAGTAAATTTAGTGTTTCTATTATAATATTTAGATCTTTGATTCATTTTAACTTTAGTTTAGTACATACTGCTATACATGGGTCTAGTTTTAGTCTTCAGAATTTGAAAAGCCAGTTTTCCCAGAGCCATTTATTTCTCCTTCCTTTCTCTCTCTCTGTCTCTCTCTGTCTCTCTCTGTCTCTCTCTGTCTCTCTCTCTCTCTCTCTCTCTGTCTGTCTCTCTCTCTGTCTCTCTCTCTCTCTCTGCCTCTTTTTCCCTCTCTTTCTCTCTCTCTTTCTTTCAGGTTCCAGGACTTGAACTCACGACCTCGCACTTGCTAGGCAGGCACTGTGCTGTTGATCTATATCCCTGGCCCTCCAGAACCATTTATTAGAGAGACTATCTTTCTTCCTGTGAATTTATCTGGTTCCTTTTTCAAAGATCAGGTGGCTGAATGTGTTTAGGGTGGCTAGAAAAACTTTTGTAAGCCATTAAAAGAAATCTTTTAGCTTTCAACTTTATGTAAGCTATTAGTTCAGGTATATTAAATGGAACAGTCTTATGTGGTATTTATAATTGTGAATGTCTACTAATGGATATATTTCACTAACCATATCACCATTAAGCACTAAATGAAAACATTCATGTCAACAGAATTTTATTTTAAATGTAAATATTACTTAAAACGACAGAATTTTCTATTTTAAAGAGTATTACACTGAGGTATTTCCTGTTTCAATTCTTGAATTTTTCTTAGTTTTTATATTTTTAGTTAACCATAACATGTTACTTATGAAAAAAAATCTCTTCAACTAAGGAGAAGGTCACAGATCCAAAGAAGAAAGTCCCATATTCTATGCCTTATTTCAACCTCTCAGAGCTCTACACAATTTTTTCTTCTTCTTCTTTTAAGTTATCAGAATCAGCAGAACAGATTTTTAAATAGCCTATCTCCAGCTGTCTTCTTGTTTGGGCCCCTGGATGATTTCTCTATGTGAAACTGTCTTTTATCTTCTTGCAGGTGAAAGGATTACTTGTTGGTTTTCGACAAATGAAACCAACTAAAATGTCCTACGCTCAGAAATGAAGCTTAGAATCTTTTGAAGGTGACCGTCTGGTCACAACTACCCAGCTGCAGAGCACGCACCACGCCTCTGCCGCCCAGCACCTGAACAAGGGGCAGGCGCCAATTAAAAGGAAGCAAGCAGGTAGTGCGCAGGTAAGCAGTGAGGTACCTTCCTTTTGTTCCTGCCAGAGAGACACAGCCTGCCAAAGAAAAACGTCAGCTGGACCTCTGATGCTTCTTTTCATAGTTTATTAAGGAACATTCAGCCAGAACTAAATGCCTTCGGCCAGCCTCCCTGTGGTACTTGGGTAAGCTGGGTTCTTCTTATCCACCCTGTACTGGACTGGTACACACATCATCCCTTACCACTTCTTTCAGTGTACCAGAGTCCTCATTCTTTTCCTGATCCTTTCATACTAAAACCTGTTATCAGAGAAAAAGCTGATCTAGTCATCAATTGACATAGAGATGGAAAGGACAGATACCTCTTAGTGGTTTTTTGTTTGTTTGTTTTTGTAGCTGATTATCATATTGTATGGGTTAAATCTAAAGAAAACAAAGTACATTTAAATAGTAGAATGACATATGATATGAAATACATCAGAAAGGTGAGGCAAATATTTTGGAAAGCTTGTGAGCTCTGAATATTTTTAATGTTTAAGAATTATTTCTTCACTACACAAATCAAACATACACAAATACACAGTATCACATATGTCCTCCCAAATATAACCAAGCTGTAAAATAAACTTTAGCAGGGGTGGGGATTTAACACAGTGAAACAAGCACCTGCCTGGAAAGTGTGAGGTCGTGAGTTCAATTCCTGGTACCAAAATAAAAGAAAATAAATAAACTTTAGCAGTAATTAATAGCTGGTCCTTTCTATGCTGATGGCCAGGGTCATGCAGGAGATTATACCTCACTAATCTCCTGCTTGGTGGCTACTCTGTAATAGCAAGCAAGGCAAGGATAGCCTAGTTGGGACTGGCAGTTTTGATCTCTGATTACATTTGGGGGAAAACATGGGTAAGTAGGGATATGTGTGTGTACATATGTGTGTATGTGTACATGTGCATGTGTGTGTCTATGGTATTGGTGCTAGGGGTGATATGCAGGATGAAATTTGGAAGTTCCTCATAGAAACCAATTCTTAATATTCTTACAAGATAAAAAGTAGTATGTCCTTTAATTAGAATTTCTATCTTTCTATACTAACTTTCACTGGCTTCATTACAGGCAATGAGGCATATTAGACATCCTAAAAGATTTCTTACAGAAGCACCTAAAACTACTCAATAAAGTATTTAAAATACTTTTAAATGGAAAGCTGATCTTACAGGAAAATAGGAAATTCTAATAGTTAAAAACAAGTAGGAGAATTGGAAGGGTGGGCAGGAGGCAAGCGTGTTCTGAAAGTCGCTTTTGCTCTCCGAAGATCTGACAAATATCCATCTTGCTGTTCCACAGGGTGAGCAAATGAAGAGATTCATAATCCTCCATAGGGGATACTCACCCATAAGGCTCCAATAAATGACAAGATAATATGCTACAAAAGGAGGAAGAAAGTACAGGCAAACATCAGAAACGTCCAAGACACACAGACACAATTCCTAGGGTCCTTCTTCAGTCACAAAACTCATGCTTTGTTTTTAGATTATCAAGAATCACCATCAGGGGCTGGGGATTTAGCTCAGCGGCACAGCACCTGCCTGGCAAGCGCAAGGTTGTGAGTTTGATTCCCAATACTGGGAAAAAAAAAAAACAAGAATCTCCATCAGAGTAGTTCCTAGGTCTCTGGAGGAAAATTGCCTCATCAAAGTGAGTTGGTTGTTGGTTACATTCCACTCTTAATGTAGCAGAAATCACTCTGTACTATTTCACTTCATAGCAAACCCATCATGAGACTCAAACAGCACCTAAGGGTGAAGTAAGTCTGTTCAATTCCTAGAGGAAACAGGATACTGCAAGGACAATCCCTCTCAAATGCTAGCACAGGACTACCCTGCTCCTTAGTCAGCACTGATGATTTACATGTGGCTGAGGTTCCCAAAAGCTTCCAGATACCTGCAGAAGAAACTGCTGTGAAAACACTCTAGTAAACAGATTAATGCAGTAGATAAGAAATTACAAATTTTTGAGGGTACTACAGAATTGAATCTTTAAAGACAAAAATAAATATTGTAGAACTAATGAGAAAAAGTGTAGGTGGGCATCCTAAGGAATTTCAAATAAACTAAATAAAATAAATATCAGTTATGGAAATGTAGATAGGCAATAGATTTTGTCACAATTTAGAAGGAAAATGTTGATTATCTCTAAGTGAACAAAAGACATTGAAGGAAATTTCAACCGCAGTGATAGAAACCAAATTGCCAAGATAAGTTACCTTTAGCGGCCTTAGAGAAAATGACTTTCAAATCAAACTTTTCCAAAGTAGACTAGCATGTCAACAAAATAATAAAAATTAAAACAAAAACTTTTCTACTACTACATGTTTTATGTAAGAAATTCTGAAAAAATAGATTTAGACTAAAGAAAAGATAAAATAAGAGTCTCAGATGGAAAGACTGTGATACAACAAAGAAGAATTATTAAAGAAAGTGATGAATATCTGGCCAGTAAAAATGCTTGCTTTCCCCTTATTTAGCAAGTACATGAGTGAGGAAAATCACTGAAATGAGATACACGGGAACAGTATCACTTATACGGCAGAAACTTGGGTTACAGAGGGTAGTACAGGGAATTTCAATGATATCAGTGTTCTGCTAATGAAGACAGTGTGACAAATGCATAAATGCTTACTAATTTATCAAAAATATAAAACAATGCATTTCTTTAGTTTTTGTCTGCCATTGTTCTTGGTCTCTGACAGTGCAATTGTTGCTACTTATGGTTATTCCCAGATGTAGTCAGAAGTAATCAAAAGCCAGCAAAGGGTGTTTGTGCAGGAAAAGGGATTCCACTGCTTTCTTACCAATATTTCACTGCCCTGTTGCAGTGTCCAGGACCTTCACTGTCATAAATCTGGGAAGAGACAATATACTTCTTTAAATTCACGCAGCAGTGGAGATGATTTGTCATTTATCTTTTCTTCAGAATGAGATTTATTTGGAGAGGAAAAGTAAGATCTCTGCAAATGCCTTAAAAGAAGTTAGAGACCAAAGGCAGTTGACAGATAGGAGAAGAGTAGGCTAGTGGAGGAGAGGAAGGATAGAAAACAGAAACAGGGGCTGGGGATTTAGCTCAGCGGCAAAGCGCCTGCCTGGCAAGCGTGAGTTCGGTTCCTGGTACTGGAGAAAAACCAAAAAAAAAAAAAAAAGAAAGAAAGAAAATGGAAACAATTTTGCCAAGGGGACAAACTCCTTTCCAGTGCTAACCTGAAGATGACTAGGTCTGTAATCTTTAAAACATGACAGTCATGCGCCTCAAAGGTATGCATACTGAGTCCTTAAGAGATTGCTCCATTATCTTAACCTAATCTTTGTACTGATCACATAACAGAAAAAGCCTAGATTTGATGCCTTCATGGGTAGAGAAATAATGTTTCCAGTTGTCATTTTTTTTTTTAAAGCTGGTAATGGCATTGTATCACATGAATATCAGGAGTATACAAGATTAATTTTGCATATTACAGATTGTTAAAGCATTATTTACTTGTCAAATCTACAATAACTCCCATAGTACTGTCAATCCACATTATTAATTTACCTTTCAAAAAGACAAAGATACCATATATACTAAATAACAAGCTAGTGACCGAGTTCCTTTTGCAACCCAAATAAATATATCACTGTCATTTAGTAATCCTCTGTGTTCATTTCAAATTTTTCCAGCACTACTGGCAAGTTAAAGGAGGGTGAAAATGGAGAGACAGCTCATTGAGTTCCCATGCATACATCTATACCACTTTAATCTTGCACATAAAAGGTCAAGCATAAAATTATTTGCTTGGAGCAGCTGTCCTCAGAGATTTGAATTCACATAGACGGAGAGTACCACAAGGAAGAAAAGTTAATTTTATCTTAATTGGATTAAGCCAGGTCCCATCTATACTGAGGGAATGAGGTTACAAAAAGACTAGAAACTGCTAGGTTGACAGAAAAGGATTAATTCACAGGCCAGTGTCAGGTTGTTGACTAATAACATATCGATCGTATCTGTAAAATATGCAGAATGTCTGTCAAGTGGAGAGACACTTTGGAATGGATGATTGCTAGTATATCTGACATGATCAAAGTTAGATTAGTATTATTGAGAAACTGCAAGGGAGCTGCATATTACCTTAGCAACCACCAAAATTTTTACACATGTCCACGACTGACCATCATAAAGAGTAGCAGTGCCTGTCAGTTACAGGAAAGTGACTGATTTGTGAAGCTGCTTCCTCCTCCACTCTTCTGTTCTTTAATGTGTTCCAGCGGACATATTGAACTCTCACATTTTAATCCCGGTGGAGCCTGCAGGTGGTATTGTCCTCGCATCGAGGAGTTATTAAATTCTTAAGGTCACCATAAAAAAGGTTCTATTAAATTGAGTTAATAAAAACATTGGGCAAAGGTTTGCAAAGAGCACAGATGTCAAAGCTTGGGAATTGGAATGTCTCCCCTGATATCAGACTAAAACAATAATTTAAACCCATCATAGTATAAAGAAATAAAATTCTCCATTCTTTAATAAAATGTGAAAATTTTTCACGTAATACACATGTGTATGTGTGAATGCTTATAGAGGACATTCATTTTTCTAAAAAATTTTTTGTGAGTTGTATTTTTCCTCAGCTGAGACTGACATTGTTTGTTGAAAACCTCAGAAACAAAAAAAATAGCTTTTTGACAGTAAATACCAAGTGAATTTTGGGAATGTTTAGTAAGTGCAAAATACTTTTTATAAAGAAAAACATAACAAACACAAAGCTTGGCCCTTGACTTAGAAGGACTTTTATGCTGTCCTTAAAAGAGTATGTGGTTGTGAATAAGAAAGCAGTCTTTAGCACTTTGCTGAAATAATACCATGGCAAAGATTCTTCACTGCACAGCCTAGTCACACATTTGTACTGAAGGCAAGAGATGCGTGGAGGTTTCATTGCTCCACGTGCATCTCACTTGCCTGTGGGTTGACAGCAGCCTGTTTTCTTTTTCATTTATGTTGAAAGAGGAAACAGGATTCATTAGGTCGAGAGCATAATGACAAATATGTTAGAAACTGATGCATATGTAATCGGTCCAGTTACTGAATTATGATCATACACATTTTCAAAAAATTTAAGTGAAGAATCTTGTACCACACTTATGACATTTTAGAATAATTTAACAAACGCATTTTAGTGAACTCTTCCAGTAGTGGCTGGTATTTCTTAATTAAACTCTGAGGTCTAGATTTTTGCAGCATCAAATATGTCCAGATGGTATGCAATATAATATGTATTTATTTGTTAGGTTTATAATATGTATGCAATATAATATGTATTTATTTGTTAGGTTTCTGTGCATTCTAAGTGATATTACTATGTTGTCCTTCAGGCCTGGCTACATCTTTTGTGGAGTCCATTGTAAGATGCACATAGGAGAGGAGGGGCATGGAGGGTGTTCCGTGACCAAAACATGAAGCTGCATTGAAGTTAGCAGTGTAATACCTGTTTTGATTTATTAGAGAAATGTTCTATTTGCTAAATTAATACTGTCAAACAATTGTTAATTATTAATATAAATTTTATTGTTGATATTTATTTTGTTCCTATCGCTTTCTATGGAAAGGTAAGAGCACTTACTCTTACAAATAACAATAGAAAATACACAATTCCTTGTATGTATTAGTGTTTCCTTTGATTAAGAACTGCAAAAACAAGGGCTGGGGATGTAGTTCAGCGGCACAGTGTCTGCCTGGCTAGCTGCAAGGTGGTGAGTTCTATTCCCGGTACAGGAAAACAACAACAACAATAAAAAAAAAGAACTGCGAAAACACTTCACAAAATTAACTGTTTTTATTAATCTCATTTCTGATATGCATATATTCCACCAGTAAGCTCTATCTTGTCTTGATAAAGAGTAAGAAAAGAGGGAAATGGAGTGACTCCAGGGCCATTCCTTTCTTGTTTGCTGACACTTGTTAATTTTCAGGGTAAGAGAATGCAAACAAGTAACACAGTGAGAAAGGTTGAAGCAGCGCTTGTTGGTTGTTCTGCTGCTTGAAATATTACACTCAGTCTGCATTGAAATGAAATTCTGGTTGCAATGAAGTTCTGGTTGTAATGAAAAGTTTTGCTTCCCTGGTCAGTTAACACCTGTGTTCCCTCAGCCTCACTTTATTTAGAAGTGACTTGAGTTTTGCTGATACAGAACACATCAAGGATCCAAAATAACTGCTCATGGAGTGTTGTGACGGCTCTATCTGAATGGAGCAGCTGAGGAGAACATGCGCGTGTACACCAGTTATTTTCATCTCCTCTTCTCACGTGCATATGCGGTTCCATGAAGTGTCACTAACAAAATTTCAAGACAAAAAAGTAAAAAGAAATTCAAAACGTGACAGAAAAACATCAAACCAAGCCTGTGGGCCTTGTAAGGGTGCAATTCCGTGTGACGGCACAGGGCACATGCCTACACTTCTACATCGGGCTTCACTAAAGAAATGTAGCTTTCAGCTGTACACAGCACATTAGCCTTAGTCACACGACATTAGGCATGCTTTCGTGGGACTTCCTGCATGGTGAAGGGCAGTACGCTAGAGAGATAGGACATCGTACATGAAGGTCAAGCTAAATGAATGAAGATCAAGCGCGGGGAAAAAAAAAAAAATTGAGTGGCTGAATGACCACGGGGAGCAGAGCTGCTTGCCACCCTAGAGAACCCACACTGGGAAAACTTACAAAACAGAAATAACGATTTATAGAGGTTTCTGGAATAGATAATTTACATTGGTTAAAAAAAAAGCTGAGAGAATACTTAGCACTGCAGGGCGGTGTGCTGAACCTTCCAGAGCCTGACTGTCAAACTACAACTCAAATCTCACTTACTTGTCACACAGTGCAATTAAAGCTGAATACTGAGGCTTTCATTTAGAAAAAACTACTCATGTATTAACAACCTTGGTCTGAAAAGAAAAGCACAATAGCACGTGGCCTGGGGCTACTAGAAGCTGTATTAATACACTTGCTTTAGAGATGTAGGAGAGGTAGAACAGTAGCTGAAAGAAACCCCGATGAATTTGAGTCTGTGATGTCTATCTGAAGAACGTACCTGGCTTCTGTATCCCGGCAGGGAGGGAGTCGGGTCAAAGCCACTGACCACGATGCTTCTGCCACTCATCCGAGAGGGCTGACCAGGACTGTATCTACCTGAACGCCAGGAGCAAGAGACCACTATGATGCAATCCGCATTAACCGGAAGGCGGACCAAGGTAGAGGGCAGAGGCTCAACACCGAGGCAAATAAAGATACTCAGCGTTGCCCACTCATTCTGTTACTAAGCCCTGTTCTCATCTGTCATCCACTCAAAGGTAATTTCTACAAATACAGGGCAACATGCCCCCCAAACTACTTTATTATCACAAGGTATTATTACGCTATATTTCTGCATGAGAATCTTGAAATCTTACCCATCACTGCCATTTATTAGTGAAGAAAGTATGTCTACTGGGCCAAGGGTAAACTAGTTGTCAAATTAAATTACTACTGTCTTTGGTTTTGTAATAGTTTCTACGGCCTAAGAATGCCATGTTTGCTTACTTATTTATTCCTTACAAATTTCCTTCTCCCTACCAGATATTCATCTGATCCTGATTCTTATGCTTGTGAATTATCCAATGAATTATTCTTGTAGGAAATTAATGAAAGTATGGTGGTTAGCTCTTTACTGGCGTTCTGCATTTCTTCATTGACCTGTTGGACAAGTGGAATATTAATAAATCACCAGATCCTCTCTCCTTTCTCTGACTTTGCTGAAGTGACACAGTTTCCCCAGGCATTTTAGCCATCAGTGTGGTTTTAAAGTTGAAATGTTCTATAGGCAGATTGAGTATTTAGCAGTCCTGGAAGCTGTAAGAACCTTGTAGAGAAGGCAATATTGTTGAGTATAAATCTCTTATCTCTGGGACCACTGGAGTTTTATGTGTGAGCGTGTTAAATAAGCATGAACCACTGTGGGGAAATAGTGGTTGTTATCTCACAAGTCACATTCTCCACTAGTTTTTGAGAGTGTATTTTGCAGTGAAATATCTCTCATAGCTTTTGTGTGAAATGGGAATACCTTAGCAGCCATATTCAGAATGGGAAGGAAGTGCAGGTATTTCTGTAGCATCTTGCAGACTGCATCCTACACACAGTGATGGAGAATTTAGGACATCATAAAAAATAGGCAAAACAATAGCAAAGCCATTAAATAAAAACTTTATGAGTCAAATAGGCTGTTAGAATTTTTTATTTTTAAATTAATTCTTCCTAAAGCATACATTCATTTTATTGCAGACATTTATCGAACATAATTGAGTATAATGTTATATTCTTCTCTATCACACACACATACACACACACATATGCACATGCACACAAATACTAATTTTAAGTTTCCTCAAATCACAGAAAATACTACTTTTATTTCTGGGTCTCGCTTATAAGGAATGCCCAATAGATCCCCTTTAATGAACCCAAAGATTGGTGATAAAAAATTACTTTTAAGGTTATCCAGTTATGGGAATAATGCTGATGACATTACACTCATTACTTTGTAAGTACCCCCTTAGCATACTCTATATAAAATTTTATGCATAAAATAATAAATTAAATATATAAATATATCCTTCTCTGTACAAATACTGTACTCTATGTACATATACAAAAGTGTTTACTTACAAGCTGAATGTATAGCACTGGTCTGCCATTCTAGCACTCAGAAGGCTGAGCCACAAATTGCCAGTTGAAGGCCAATATAAGCAATATAGTGAGTTCATGACCTGGATCTACATAGTGAGAGCCTGTTGCAAGGACAAGTGACTCTTTCCATGCATATTAATCAGCATTAAGCATTAGCATAAACATCTGCCCAGAGGAAAAGGACTTCTAATGTTCAATTTGCAACTGTTTTATTACTAGCAAAAAATGAATATGTTCTCATAATGACCTTTAAATATTCTTTATTTTGTAAGTTGTTTAACAATACTAAAATATAATAGTGGATCAGTAGTCTTTTTACTTCTAATTTACAATATCATTAATCTTATAATACAAAAACTTTGTTTCTAACACATCATGAATGTATTGTGCTTTGTAGTGTGAATTTAATGCATTCAGTATTTGTAGTCTTATAAAAATTGATTTCAAAATTTAATTTGTACAAAATAACATTTATTAATCTATTTAAATTTTTACACTTTATATGATGATTGCAAAGCTCATTTTCAGATTTAATCAATGTATTAATATTCCTATCTAATTATTTATGTTTTTTATTTTTACATTAAATATTTTAATTTACTTAGAATAAATATTGCTATATAGTTTTCCCCTGGCATATAAGTTATTGATATCTCTTCTAGACTATTAGCCAGTTTTCTCACAGAGAAAATGATCACCTTAGTACTTTAGATATAGTGTAGTGATGAATCTTTATCTAAACTTTGAATTCCAGTTTCATACTTTTATAATTATGGTAGGTTGAAATTGTTTTAAATAATGGTTTCCTAAATTAGTTTTAAATTTGATGTACCTCATAGGTATAGTTGGAAACCTGCTATTGACACATCTGAGGAGTGCTGAAAGTACAAATCAGCAACACTTCTCCTTTAGAAATGTGTCAAACTTGAAATGTTCACTGTTAAATTTTTTCTTCAGTGCTACCTTGTCTCTTTAAGATTAAATTTTTTCAGTGATATATTATTTAGAAAGACTACTTTCTAAAAATTTGTTGCTTTTGTTTAGACTATATTATGTGTATCAAATTATATTTCTAATGATACATTTTGGTGAATGCTATTGTAATTTTAAAGGAGTTCTTAGGGGTAGGCAAGGGAACTACATCAAAAATTTTTAGAAAGTATAGGGTTTAATCATAATACATAACTAGTCATATATAAATGTACAGTATAAAGATGAGCAGGAAAATAAATGAACATTAGCTTTCATTATAAAAACAAGAAAAAAATAGAAATTAGTATATGATAGAAAGTTGATAGATAGATGATAGATTATAGATAGGTAGACAGATAGATAGATAGATAGATGTGGTAACTTATGTCCTTATTGTGGAATGACAACGTGAGCTCCAAATATAAAAAGATGATTGTTCACAAATGGAACATCACAGATATGGAAGGGAACAGCTTCAATTGTACAATTTTTTTGGCAGTTAGAATTCTCACCTTTTCATATCCTCTCTTTCTGCTATTATAGACATTTTCGACCAGGAAAGTTACGTTAAAAAATTCTGCATCTTCTCTTATGCTTTAATGCCCATGTTATTTCCAATGTAATTTTGTATTCTTGGCTTATTAAACTTAATGTAAATATCCATTTGGGCCTGTAGATTGTCTTCTCATGCAAATGTGTTACATACTGGTTATACTGTAGCTAGAATCAGAGTTGAAATGTGAAACAGTACAACTGTCATTAGAAGTTAGATTTATAGTCCTGTGAAACATAACTTAATATTACAAATGTTAAAACCTAATAGAGGAAGTAAGATCTGACTCTCTGCTCTTAGCAATTTAGGTAATTTCAAGTAGAAATTATAATAAAGATTCATTTATACTAAATCTCCTATGAAAGAAGGATCAAAAC